GAAACCCTATACAGGGTCGCTATGGGTCGGAATCAACTCGATGGCACTTAACAACAACAAGAAGAAGGGGACTTCCTTACTGGCCTCTGGTAGGTATACTCTAGGTCCTTGAAAATTGAAAACAGAGGCCCATTGGCCATGTAAGGATACCAGGTTCCTTAGATGTCCTGGATCTAGCTACCTGGTAAACCTGGCATTCTCTGTGGGATTGTCACAGGTTTCTCCAGGCCTCAGATAACCTGGGTCTGAATTGGAGTCTTCCTTCTGAAACCAGTAATGCCTTGCCTCTAAGTAGCACTGTAGGGATTTGCCAGTACAGTTTGGCTAGCTGGGGCATCATTCACCCATAATGCATCTGTTTTGTTACATGTGTTCTCAGACAAAGAGTTTGCTGTTCGGCTGGAAACAGACAAGCGCCTGTACACAGTAGGAGAGTCAGTGGAGTTCAGGTGCATTCTGGAGGCTCAGAGTATTCCCGAACGTCACTTTGCCGTCTCCTGGGCCTTCAACAGTTCACTCATTGCCAGTATGGGACCTAATGCTGTGCCGGTACTCAACAACGAATTTGCACATCGGGAAGCCAAGGGTCAGCTCAAAGTTGCCAAAGAGAGCGACAGTGTCTTTGTGCTAAAGATCTACCACCTACGTCAGGAAGACACTGGGAAATACAACTGCCGTGTCACTGAGCGGGAGAAAACAGTCACTGGGGAGTTCATCGACAAGGAGAGCAAGCGTCCCAAGAACATCCCGATCATAGTCCTCCCTCTCAGTAAGTAGAGAAAGGGGCTACTTTCTTCTACTCCTCCTATTGGTTCCTGGTTCAACAGCTAGGTAGCATCGTGTAAGGAAGCAGGGCGAGAGCATAGAGTAGTTTGGTGTTGAGGATGTGTGCAGGTGGAACTCCAAGTTTAAGTCAGTTCAGCAGTTACTGTCAACCCCCCTACCCCCTTCCCCAGTTAAATGGCACTTCAGCACTATGTTTGCAGGCTGGAGTTGGGCCTCAGTAAATCCCTGCTTCAGCTCAGTTTAGAGGAAAACCAGCAATCTAGGAAAGCTGTTTGCTCCTGGGTGTGAAGTAAGTCCCAGAATAGGTAGGTAGATCCCTATCTAGAAATTTCATGTAAGGAGAGTTGGTCTTTTATGGAGTGATTTTAAATCATAAAGTACATTATTCAGAAGGATATACTGTCTGGGGTTTGGACGGTATAAAGGTTGACATTTCCCTAATTGTCTCCTATTAAAATACGCTTTTAAAATGTCAGTGAATGGGGTTTCTCTGGAGCATAGATTTTACAGCTTAGCTAGTTTCTGGGGCTACTTAGGGTGGTCCCCTGCCTCCACGTGAGCTGGCTTATGTGGGGGTAACTGTCATGGCCAGGGACTTCAGAGACTAGGTGTTTGCTCGTGTGTTTAATCACCCATAGTATCAGGGTATGCTTATAAGACCTCATTTGGTTTATAGTTCTGTTTTTAGTTGAAAGACATTAAAAAGCGTATCATGCCCTTATTTTAAACAAGTTGATGAACTAACCATTAACTCTTTCTCAACTACTCAAACTGCTCTTTCCCTTGGCCTTGTAATGATTTCCTTCACATTTTTCTTTACACTTTTTTAGTTTAAAAATATTTCTCTCCCAAGTGTGAAGAAAAAAAAAAAAAAATTGGTCTTGTCAATCTTTCTTCTTTTCTCACCAACAAGATTATTTTATTTGATACTTTAAAACCAAACAATGATACCTACACCTGATTATCTTGTAATCTTTTTGCTTCTTAAGACTCTTTCCCTGCATTGCCTTGCATGGTGCTTTACACAGAGCAGGTGCTTGCTGGATATGTGTAGAACTGAAATTGTTGATATTGAATGCCCACTCTATGATTACTTTTCCTGTCAGTCTATGCTTGCCTTAATCACCACCTCTCTCCTTTTAAATCTGCAACTAATTCCTCATTGTTTTGTAAGGAACAGTGAGGGGCAGCCAAGCTATTTCCTTCTTAGGCCTTTTTGTATTCAGAGATTTCCCCCAACTCCTTCCAAGAACTTGTTTGATGATCTGTGGCCTGCTATATTGCTTTTCCAGCAGATCACTGGGTAGTTAAAGTCCCCCAGCACCACCAGATCCTGCCCCAAGGCCACTTGGGTAAGTCTACTGAAAAACAATGATCACATCTGTAATGATGATAATACCTTGGATTTTAATGGTGCTTTTCCTTCCAAGAGCCCAAAGTGCTTTTGCATACATCATTTCCTTCTCTGCACCCACCCCTCAAATCCCAGGTAGTGGCCAGTATTGAATTCATTCTATGAATGACGAAGCCAGAGCACTGTACAGGGAAGTGACTGTACAGGTTGCTCAGTTAGTGGTTGAGCTTGCATTGCATTAGAAACGTCTGCTTCTAACTCCAAACCCATTGCTCTGCGCTTAGTCTATGCCACACCATCTTGATTGGAAATTCCATTTGTGAACATGCACTCAGATTCTCATTAGTTGTGTCATAGTTTTCACTTAACCCAAATGGCTTTCAATTGTCAGCTGCCTGTTCTGAGGCCTGGGATTCCTCATAAATAGTACAACATTGTCAATAGAACTTAACAGGAAAGGCAGTGCTGGGGCCATGTCTGCCTTGCTTGGGCCACCAGAATGGCTTGTCTTCTAAGAGATCCAGACTGTGCAGTTTTACCAGGCTTGCTTGAGTAACAGAGCCCCCAAGAGTGGCCCTCATAATAAACAAGGCTCTTATGTAAGAGTCATTTGGGGGTGACAGGAGGGAGTGATGTCCTAAAAGTCATTTTCTGCTTAAGGCAAGTAAAGGGATTTTCTCCCTTGGTGCTAAAGTTGCCACATTTAATCCTATCCTTGGAACTGGCAACACTAGGGATGAGCCTGTAATTGAAAGGGGATTATTATTATTAATGACAGTGAAAAATAATCACTTTATCTAATTCTCTGAATGTAGTAATTATTAGTAGCTCTGTTTTGCCCAAGAGAAATTGCACTTGGGTAAGGTAAGTGAGAATCCCAAGATTACAATTAGGAAGGAGTAGATCTGGGCCTCGAACCAGTCTCCAAGAACCTGCGTTTAACCACTAGAACTGTCACTAACCAGGGGCCTCTGCACTTCCCTGAGTCATCTTGGTATGACTCCTTGGTGTCCTCTTGTGAAAATTTGCATTCCCACCTTGTCCAGACCTTTTCTGGATTTGCTCGAAATAAGCAAATCCAGAACCTGGTGGCAGACATACTCACTCCAACAAGAGCTGAATGTGAAGGCTGAATGAGTGAGTACTCATCTTGGTTTCTACTTGTGGGGGGAAGTCCAGGGGAGAGAAGACTGATTCAGATGCGTCCGTACGTGGATGTGTGTTTCCCCTTAGTAACTGGATGCTTCTTCATCCGGGGTTTGATTTGACTGACTGGTTTAGAAGTATCATATGCATTTCGTTTGGGTGGTACCCTAAAGATTAGCACCAAATCACTTATGGTTCTTTGTGTTCCTTAAAACTTAGGAGCTTTTTGAACTTAATATAAGTAACTGTACAAAATACTGTATGCATAATTAAAACAGACTAGAGAATCTATTTTATAAAAGCAAAGAGTTATTGGGAATAGTAAAATATAATCCACAGCAAGCGCAACCAATTATTGAAAATCTGTGTTAATTAATCTGTGTATGTTCACAATGTAATTACTATTCCCCCCCCCATTTTATAGAAGAAGAAATTGAGGCACAGAGAGTTTTGTAATTTGCTTGAGTGAGTTCATATAGCTAATGTGCAGCAAACACTACTAGGTGGAGAAGAGAAAGTAGTGAAATCCTTACCCCATACTATGATGGGCAGAATGATTCAAGTAAAGAGCAAGGCACAGACCAGCCAGATGGGGGATGGCGAGATACTGGCCTCTGTGTTGATGAAAGTATGGAGCTCTCTCCCCATGCACTCCCTGAATCTAGACCATCTGGGCTCCATTATTATCCACACTCAAGTACACTTCATCGTCTAAATACTTCCATCATTTGTTGCTACTTCCCAATATTGCCCTGAAGATATCAGATGGCATGTTATGGATGCAGCGTTTTTATTTGCCTGCTGCAGCAATGAATGGTGGGAAGACTGAGGTGAAGTAGAATTTTGGTGTTCTTCAACTTAGTAAAAATGGAAGTTGAAAGGCCTTCAATTTCAGCTGGGGGATTTTGCTGATACTGTTATGTCTGAAATGTAGTGTCGTTGTATTATGTTTCTTTGGTTCTGGTTCAGCCTCAAGTCTTAGAATTTTGTTACACCCCAGTGCTCAGCACACAGCAGAGCTTGCTAGATGATCAGATCTAAATCCCAGTGAGCAGTGCCCAGAACCACCAGGGCTTGTGGCATCCATATCAGACTGCTGTTTACTATTTGAAGTCCATAGCACCTGAGTCAGATGAAATTTGCCCCTTCCTCCATTTATATCTGTGTGGAGGGCACTATGAGGCCATACAGCTCCCACTTTGTGACTCTCCCTTTCCCCAGAGAGCAGCATCTCCGTGGAGGTGACCAGCAACGCCAGCGTCATCCTGGAGGGTGAGAACCTGCATTTCTCCTGCAGCATCCGCACGGCAGGTCGGCAGCAGGGCCGTTTCTCGGTCACCTGGCAGCTCGTGGACAGGCAGAACCGCCGCAATAACATCATGCGGCTTGACCGGGATGGTACTGTGCAGCCAGGGGCGTCCTACTGGGAGCGCAGCAGCTTTGGAGGCGTCCAGATGGAACAGGTGCAACCCAACTCGTTCAGCCTGGGCATCTTCAACAGCAGGAAGGAGGATGAGGGCCAGTATGAGTGCCACGTGACCGAATGGGTGCGGGCAGTGGATGGCGAGTGGCAGCTTGTCGGGGAGCGGAGGGCCAGCACATCCATCTCTATCACAGCTCTTGGTAAGCATCTGCAGTCTGATGGTGAGGTCATGATGGAGGCTCCATGCCAAGAACTTCACCTGATTTGTATTAGGAAGCACCTTCAGAAGGGTTTCTTATCGAAGGGTCTCTATGACGGTGTGATGATGGGCTTCCAGGGACTAATGGGAGCCAGAAGCTGATACCACTCCTAGGGCTGGGTGGGGAGGGAGTCTTGTTAAAAGAACTGTACCCACAGCAGCAGAGTCCCTGGATGGGACAAACAGTTAATGTGTGGATGCTAACCAAAAAGTTAGCAGTTCAAATCCACTATGGGATACTTCAGATGAAAGGCCTGGTGAGCTGCCAAAAACTCAGCCACTGAAAACCCTGTGAAGCTCAGTTCTGCTCTGACCCACGTGGGGTTGCCATGAGCTGACTTGACAGAAACTGGACCTGGGGAACCCAGAGAATTGATGTGACCCAGCAGGAGTGGGTCCCCAGTTAGAGGCACATGTTGTTGTTGTTGTTGGGTGCTGTCGAGCTGGCTCCTGACTCATAGCAGCCCCTTACGCACAACAGAACAAAACACTATCCAGTCTTGCACCATCCTTACAATCACGATTGTCTTTGAGCCCATTGCTGCTGCCACTGTGCCAATCCATCTCATTGGGGTCTTCCTCTTTTTCACTGACCCTCCACTTTACCAAGCATGATGTCTTCCTCCAGGGACTGGTTCCTCCTGATAACGTATCCCAAGTATGAGAGACAAAGTCTCACTGTCTTGGCTTCTAAGAAACACTCTGGCTGTACTTCTTATAAGATATATATAGTCACTTGCCAAAACTGGTCTGGAAGGAGCTTCTCTCTCTTCCAGCTCTCCAGATCTCTGCCAGTACTGCCCAGAAGCCCAGCCCATCTGGAGCAGTTTAGAGCAGGGCAAACATTGTTATTTGTATAGCATTTACTCTGACGGAGGCAGAGGTCTTCAGCTTCATTGCCCCACTGAATCCTTACCTAACCAAGGGGTAGACAACTTCCATTATACAATGAAACTGGAAAACAGTTAAATAATTTGCCTGAGGCTCTAGATTCAAATGGACAAACCTAGAATTGGAATCCAAGAAACCAGCAATCTCTTAGTTTTTGGGAAAGCCTATGTTTTTTATCGACTCTACTATAGGGCCCCCTGCTTTAACAGTCATTTTCTCATTAGTATGAAATTAAAAGATATCTTGAGATTTGCTAAAACCAAAGAATATTAGATTTGCTTCACAAGAGTAGTTAAAGAAGCCTCTATCAATACTTATCTGTCTTAATATAATCAGTATATTAAATTTTAAAAAACCAGTCTGCTACTTGGCTGGGAAAATAACTTTGCCTGTAGGGTCTTCATGTTTATCAGGAGGTAGGGGCTTCCTGGATTCTGTAAGGCTCCCTTCTCCACAGATAGTTTAGCCCTAGACTAAATTCTTTATGTCCTCTCACCTCTGAGATTAGAATTACATCTATTTGCTAAAAGCTTAATCTCGAAGATTGAGCTGCTTTTTGCAGTAGTCACACAGCTCTAATTTCAGTCTAGAAACTTCATCCAGTGATTAAGTTTCTGGCCAGCTCAGGCCCTGTAACTGTGCTCAGCACCAAGGTGGGCCTATGGAAATAGGTGTCCATTTGGTGGCGTATTTTTCCATCCTGTGCAATTAGGAAGAGTCGGTCAGGATTATTTCTCTAGAAGGAATTTTCCTGTGTCATGTTATCCCTAGATTGTTTTCTTATTCAGTATGTGTCTGGAGGTTCCCACAGGCAGGGACTGACTCTTCCCACCTCTTCGCCATCCCAGGGGTACTTCCAGGTAAAGCTGAAGTCAGGGTGGTCTGATGGGGTGGGGTGGGAGAGTATAGAGTGGGAGGGCAACCCAATGGAAGGTTGTTTGTTCATTCTAGCCCACCACACACCCAATTAGGTGACAAAGTGACCAGTTGAGATAGTAGGTGAAAAGTTCTCCAAGCACATAAGAGTCATTCTGCTCAGTCAGGCAGCTCTGTTGCCATGTGTGAGGTCTGTGATCGTGGTGAGCCTATCCCAGGTCTGGATATGGTTCTGAGCTCTGCTATGCTCTCTGGCCCCTGTTTGCCATGCAGACCAGGAACGCCCAGTGCAGGTTTGTCTCCTGAGGTTCCACTGCTGTGCTGCTCTGCTGGCATCGCTTACCGCACCCGGATGCAAACTCATGGCGCCATTTTGACTGGCGACCATCATCACAACCACTTAATGTAAAGGCTGGTGCTGTGTGCCATAAAAAAAAAAAAAAAAAGATTAACTTTAGATACATAAAGATATTGCATAAAATCCAAGTTGATGAGCCAGAGCTTTCAGCAGATTATGCGTACTCTTTGTTGGTGTACCTCCCCATATAAGGCTTATTAGCCTTTTACCTTAAGAATTTAATGCACTTTCCTTTTGGCCTGTTTTCTTAAAATATGTCTTTAACAAAACCCAAGGGGGCTTTTACAAGTTCATGGGAAAATTCTATTATCTTTTCATTCCATCCCTTCATGAACTTTGTTAATCCACCCCCCTCCACCCACACACACACACATAAACATTATAGCATATATCATGTGCCTGTTAGCTATTCTATTTTACAAATTTAATGTTTGTCAGAACAGATGGGGGAAACAGAGAAGTAGCATGCTCAAGTTGGCTTGTTGGTTCCAGAGTCTACACTCTTAACCACTCAATTAAGCTCCTCGTGGCTCAGGGTGAGGTGCCACCAAGTCAGTTCCGACTCAGAGTGACCCTGTATAGGGTTTCTGAGGCTGCAAATATTAACGGGAGCAGAAAGCCTCATCTTTCTCCTATGGGGTGACTGGAGGATTTGAACTACTGACCTTGCAGTTCGCAGCCCAGCTTGTAATCCACTACGCTACCAGGGCCTCTTTACCTCATGGCTTCTTGTTGTTAAGTCCCATCGAGCTGATTCTGACTCATAGTGACTCTGTACAGGATTTTTAATGGAGCAGTGGGTTTGAACTGCTGACCTTGGAGGTTTGCAGTCCAGTGCTGATCCAACAGTACCACACCACTACTATAGCCTGCTATCAGCGAGTCAATTCCAACGCATAGAGACCCTATAGGACAGGATAGAACTGCTGGTTCTTGAGGCTGTCAATCTTTACAGAAGCAGATGCCTCCACTTTTCCCCACAGAATGTCTGGTGGGTTTGAACCACAGACCTTTTGGCTAGTAGTTCAATGCTTATCCTACCATACTACTAGGGTTCCTTAACCTAATAAGGCCCAAACCAAAACTACTGTCATCAAGTGATTCTGACTCCTAGTGACCCTAATAGGGTTTCCGAGACGGTCAATCTTTATGGATGCAGACAGCCTCATTGTTCTCCTTCAGAGCCGCTAGTGAGTTTGAACTGCCAACTTTTCAGTTAGCAGCCCAATGCTTAACCCATTGTACCACCCAGGCTCCTTAACCTTATAAAGCCCCTACTGGTTAAAGGTGTGCTTTGGAATCAATTAACACATGGGTTTGAAGCTTTATTCTGCCATATAGTTGCAGTTTGTTATCAGGCAATTTATTTGACTCTTCTGTGTTTCAGTCTCTTCATCTGTTTTTAAAAAAAATGGGGATGAGAAAGGAGAGATGCTAAAGCTGTCTAAAAGGTCGTTTTGGAGATTGACTGAAGTGTAGTGAAAGCAAGCAGTTGGCATGATGCCTAGCACAGATGATGTTAAGTGCTATCAAGTCAGTTCTGACTTAAAGTGGCTCTTTATAGGATTTCAAAAGAGTGGCTGGTGGGCTTGAACCACTGACCTTGCTTGAGGTTAGCTGTCTGGTGCTTATCCTACAGTGCCACACCAGCACTCCAACACATAATGTTGTTGTTAAGTGCTGCCGAGTTGGTTCCAATTCATAGCGACCCTATATAGGGTTTCTGAGGAGCAGCTGGTGAGTTTGAACTGCCGACCTTGCAGTTCAAAAGCTTTGCAGTCTGGCGCATTAACCCACAGCACCACACCAGGACTCCATCACATTGATAGTACTCAGTAAATATTGGCTACTATTTGTTTCAATTATAATTTATGTGTTAATATTAAACAGTAGTCCAAGACTAAAGGGACACTGAGAGGCCCCTATGGAAGGGCCAGTATTAGGGGTTGGTAATGCTGCTAGTTCATTAAGGAATAATGAGAGACACAGTTCACTAAGAAGGCAGGACCTTGGATGTGAGGACTGTTCTTCCCACCCTGACATACAGGGGGTCTTCACTAGTCAGAATCAACTTGATTGGCAACTGCTTATCCCCATCTCACCTGAGGCAGTGACCTGTCAAAGATCAGTCCCTCCTGAGTGGGGCCCTCACTGCCTCTATCCCTTTGGGCTTCCCGGGAAAGTGGGAAAGGGGCTGGAGTGCTGTGCTACCCTGAGAACCTAGGAGACCACCTCCTCCATCCCCGCCCTCTTCACTGCCTCTCATGCCCTTAGTGGTCCAGGAAAGGAGATGTGTGGGAAGTATGTCTGCTTACCATTGAACTCACCCACCCACTGCCATTGAATTGACTCCGACAAATAGTGATCCTTTGTAGGGTTTCCAAGGCTGTAAGTCTTTACATTTAACAAAGGCAAATTGGCTTTCGTTCTTGTTAGCTCATGTTTTAGCATAAAGCCCCCAGATTTCTAATACTGACCCTGCCTAAATGAAATCAGTCTCCGAGACAACTGTGTTGTCTAATTCCAGGAGGAATTGGCTTCAATCCACACTTTTAGAAAGTCTCTATCATGGATCTTTACAAATGCTTTGTGCTCAGAGAGTATTGCTGTGGGCCTCTTTCCATGGGTTCTTATAAACTGTTGATTTTATGCCTTAATATAATACCTACAGTATTGGCCTGTTTATATATATGTGTGTGCGTGTATATATATATATGTTGTTGTTGTTGTTGTTAAGTGCCGTCGAGTCGGTTCCGACCCATAGCGACCCTGTACAGGGTTTCCGAGTCTGTAAATCTTTATGGGAGCAGAACGCCTCATCTTTCTCCCGCGGAGCCGCTGGTAGTTTTGAACTGCTGGCCTTAAGGTTCGCAGCCCGATTCGTAACCACTACGCTACCAGAGCTCCTTATATATATATATGAAATAAATAAACAACATCCATCGCTGTTAATTGATTCCAGCTTACAGCAACCCTATGTGTCCAGAGTAGAATTGCTCCATAGGGTGTGAGATTTGAGAAGCAGATCTCCAGGCCTTTTGTTTAAGACATCACTGGGTGGGTTTAAACCATGAACCTTTTGGTCAGTAGACACTTTTGCACCACCCAGGGAATTCTGAGTATCAAAAGAAAACACTAATCTTTGTCCTATTCTGCTTGCTGTAGTCAGTAGCCCGTCACTGGCATGTCAATGCCCTGAGAAGTCCAAGTGTCTCCTTTGGTTTGAAACTCTCTCTTCTCTCTCCAGAAACAGGCTTTGCAGTCACAGCTATCTCACGCACGCCGGGAGTGACCTACAGTGATTCCTTTGACTTGCAATGTATCATCAAACCTCATTACCCGGCCCGGGTCCCTGTGTCGGTGACATGGCGGTTCCAGCCAGTGGGCACTGTTGAGTTCCATGACTTGGTGACCTTCACTCGGGACGGAGGGGTCCAGTGGGGGGACAGGTCCTCCAGCTTCCGAACCCGAACTGCCATTGAGAAGGCCGAATCTAGCAACAATGTGCGCCTAAGCATCAGCCGAGCCAGTGACACGGAGGCGGGCAAGTACCAGTGTGTGGCGGAATTGTGGAGGAAGAACTATGACAACACCTGGACGCGGCTGGCGGAAAGAACCTCCAACCTGCTAGAGATCCGGGTGCTGCAGCCAGGTAAACGTTGCAGGGTCTTGTGTTTCTGTGTCATGACAGCACAGAAAGAGGGAAGAAAGCACGGGCTGAGCTTCTGCAGTAGCTTTGTATGTTGAGAAACTTCAGGTCTATAGAAAGTTGGGGGAATTGTACAGTGAACCCGTCTTTTCACTTTCCTGGGTGACCAGTCATTAACACCTTTCACGTTTGTTTTCTCCCTTTGTGTCTGTCATTGATATTGTTGTTGAACGTTTTGAGGATAAGGTACGGACATCAATGATACCTCCCCTTAAATATTTCATCCTGTAGCTCTTAAAAGGATGCCTGGTGGTGGTGGTGGTTATGTGCCGTGGAGTCGGTTCCGACTCATAGCGACCCCATACAGGGTATCCAAGGCTTTACGGGAGCAGAAAGCTTCATCTTTCTTCCACGGAGCAGCTCGTAGTTTTGAACTGCTGACCTTGCGGTTCACAGCCCGATTCTTAACCACTACGCTACCAGAGCTCCTTAAAAGGATGCCTAGTGGCTATTAAAATGGCATCAACACTCTACTCATCTGGGTTCGAGCCTTCATTTCGATGGCCACACAGAACTCAAAACACCATATCATAGTTACAGGGTTTATTAGGGAAGTGAAGCAGGTTGCGATTCAGCATCAGAAATGTTCAGGGCACAGTTCTTCCAATCAGGACAGTTTCTACTCAGTCATGCCTGACACAGGCAGACCTCTCTCTGACTCTTGGCCCCTTGGCCTGGCCACAGCCCTGCTCTGGCTTTGTTACAGAGATTTTTTGGGGTGCTAATAAGGAGCTCTGGTAGTGGTAGGTTACTAATCAGGCTGCTAATCGCAAGGTCAGAAGTTGGAAACTGCCAGGTGCTCCGTGGGAGAAAGGTGAGGCTTTTAAAGCCTCAGAAACCCTGTACGTGGTTGCTGTGAGTTGGAACTGACTCCACGGCACACAACCACCAATCAAAGCACACTCTACTCCTTTGTAAACCTCAGCCTGAAGGCCCTCAGCTCTAGCTCTGTGGGTCAGCAAACCTAGCTCCCCAATTAAGTGTCTGCAGGCACCCCACTCCACAAGTGAGCCTCCTGCCCAAAGCCACTCAACTTTGCCTGCCCTGTGGGCTGGGAAACCTACCACTGTTTGGTGCTCTGGCTCTTCGTTCTGCCTCTGCCATGCTTCTGGTGTCACAACTGTCTCTTGGCTCAGGAAGTTTCAATGAGCAGGTATCTCTTGGTCTGAAGGATGCATTCACCTCTCGGGCACTTCTTCCTGGATGGTAGTGAGAGTCCCCCCTCTGTTGCTTCTGAGGTGGCTCATGGTATACCCAGCAGGCTGGCAGTATTTCATTGTACTCTCGGTCACCATGATACCTGTGAACAATCACTCACAACTAAATCATAATCCATCAGCACCCTCTCTCACTTTCTCTTGCCCAGACCCATAAGGTAAAAGTTGGTTGGTGGGAGTTTACAAAACCGTGGTTAGAAAAGACATTAAAAAATTCACTGTGCCACACAGTGGTTCAGTATTTGGCTGCTAACCATAAGTTCGATGGTTCAAACACACCAGCCATCCCACAGGAGAAAGAGGAGATAGTGTGTTTCCATGAAGAACCCAATGAGGCCTTGGGAACCAATGGGGAGTTCTACTCAGTCCTGTAGACTTGCTATGAGCTGGAATCCGTGTGACAGCAATGGGTTGGGTGGATCGTAAGAACAAGGTTATATTCTACTAAACAACACCCTGGAAGTTGAACGTTTTTATAGAATTATTGGAGACATCTGGGAGGTGTAAATGATTAAATGCTCAGAGACTAGCTGAAAGGTTGGTGGTTCGAAGTCATCCAGAGGTGCCTCGGAAGAGGTCTGGCAGTCTGCTTTTAAAAGGTCACGGCCTTGAAAACTCTGTGGAACAGCTCTCTTCCACATGGGGTTACCAAGAGGTAGAATAAACAACAACATCATAGTAAGAGGGGGCTTCAAAAAGTTTGTAGGACAATTCCATTTGCATTTCATTCTATTTTCCCCAGTTGTCCCAATGCTTTGCTGTTTAGTTTTTTTCCTTTTCCTTCTTCCAAATCTGGATTCAGAGACTACACATTGCATCTGGTTGTCCTGTCTCTTTGACTTGTTTAATCTTGTTTAATCTGTGTGTGTGGTATGTGTGTTTGTGTGCCGATGTTAAGACATTGAATTGATACTTATAAAGTATCCAGGCCAGTTTCTTTTTCCTTAACCTCATCACCTATAATTTTCATAACAATGACGTGAAAAAGGTATTATTGCTCCCCATTTACAGACAAAGCAAAGAGAGGGAATATAATAGGCATTTATCCAACATCTAAGGTCCTCTGGTAATGCAGGGGTTTCAGGCTGCTAATCTCAAGGTCGGCAGTTTGAAACTACCAGCTGTTCCGTGGGAGAAGGATGAGGCTTTCTGCTCCCGTAAAGATTTACAGCCTCAGAAACCCTATACAGGGTCGCTATGAGCTGGAACCGACTCCACGGCACATAACAACAACAACCACCCAACATCTGCTCTGCACTAGATGCTTAGTGTCCACCACTTTATAGGAATTTCATAATGGTCCTAAGAGAGGTTAAGTAACTTGCTCAAGGTCATGTAGCTGGAAAGCCCACCGCTCTGTTTGGTGCTCTGGCTCTTGGTAAATATAATAACTCTGTCTATCTCTCCTTCAATGCTATTTTCTTGATCCAGGCCCTGCCCAGATGTTCTGAGTTTGTGTCCTTTTCTTATGGGGACTGTCTCTCTCAGAGTAGTTGATCATGCACTGTTAGTGTACAATACAGAAATGGAGATCAAGGTGCACAAATTTTGTGAGTATAAGTCATTGGAATTTCACCTACACAGGTGAGCGGTTAAGCACATTCTGCCTTTACAGTCTACATCTGGGTCTGTCCGGTGTCTCTTGCTAGGTTGGAAGCTGGGATGGGTGGAGCCCAGGAGGCAGGCTTTGAATTCCCTCTTGGTGCCCAGTCCCACACCCAGTAGAGAGGAGGCACGACACAGTAAATTATGAGGGTTAGAGAGGAAGTGACTTTGCAAAGACTCTTTTCTGGCTTTGTGACCCATCCACTTTGCAAAGATGGTTTGAAGGTCTCCCAAAAGGATTTCTGCCCACTCACAGCCATGGCATAGCCAGCCTTCACTCCTTAACTACCTCAGATGGGTTGCAATGTTGTTTTTGGCAATGTGAGTTTAAATGACAGTGATTTCTGAGTTTATCCTTCAACTCTTCGAACCCCATAACAAAGCCCTGTTCTGGACTAGAGTTTGCAATTGGCGAGTTAGAATGTAAATGAGTCATGGACCAATTAGAGCCCAAACCTAGCCTGACAGGATGCCCAGGGAAGAGACTGTTCTGCTTAAGTGGATTATCAGGTTAATTGAGGGTTAAGCAGAGACCCCATTTTGTGTAAGCTCTTTTTGTGAAAACTGCTGAGGAACCCACTTGCCTGTCTTACTGAGTGGAACATAATGGTCATAATTGAACCGTCTTACTGCCTCCTGTGGCCCTCAGGGTCAGTGTGCAGAATCTCAAAGCCCATCACATGGGTTTGCAGCGGTAGAGGACAGAGAAGGCACTGACCCCAAGACCTTGCCTTTTTTAGTAAATCCCTAATCAACAATAATCTTTGCTTGTGTCGGTTACTGTTTAGAATTCAAGACCGAAAAGTCTAGTATGTGGATACGAAATTAGTTCATTGGAGATTCTGGTTATTTGGATTCTAGTTAATGTGATGTTATGGAAGGGGAAAGGGACAAGACTGTATGGCAGGCTTTGTTCTTAGTTGGTGACTTATGTTTTCTTTCAGCTCATGCAGCAGTCTAATGATGTAGAGTTCATATCCTCATTTGCTTATGAGGAAAAAAAGGCTCAATGTGGTTAGGAGCCTTCACAGAGGCAGACCAGCTAGTCAAATGAAAACCTGAGATCCAATCAGAGACTGGAGCCCAGGTCGCTCTGATGTCATGGTCTACTTTTCCATCAGTTCCTGTTGTTGCCTCCTGGGTAGAAAAAGTAATGGAGCATTGGGAAGCCCAACATCCTCTCTGAGAACCGTCTTGTGTGGCCAAAGATGAGTTGTGTCTGTTTGCATTTTTACTGTGAAGTGGAAACTACCAGTTGTTGGCACAGAAGACTTATGAGACATCGTCCATGGGCTATCATGAGACCTCTGCTTAAAGGTGCTAGCGGTTGTGCACCTGCACAGCCCTCTGGGGCGAAGGAGGTGCTGGAGGCTGCACATGGCTCCCAGGGAGTGACTGGAGCACCGGGGAGCATGCATCCGCTTAAGTGTTACTGTCTCTCCTTTATTAAATATGTATGCATTTAGCACTTAATATTTTCCTAAGAGCTTCATGCTTGTTTTTACTCTTTTTTTCATATTCACTCTTGCTGCTATTTACTGGTGTTTTTATTTGGGGGAAGTAGAGTTGGGAAAATGCATCTATTGAGGCCTGACCATGGGCTCAAGGCTGTACTGGACACTTGGATGTCTTGTGTGTGTTCCCATTTTATAAAGTGGGTAACTGAAGGCCAGAGAGGTTCTAACTTGCTGAAGTTGAGTAAATAGTGACCAGGGCAGTTGGAGTTATAACCAAGTCTTTCTGATTAAAAATCAAGTAGAGTGAGCAAAAGGGAAACTTTGCCCATTAAGGCCGTAGAATCAGAAGTCATTCTTTCTGCTTTCAGTTCACGGTCTCACTTACAAAGCAGTTTCTCTTTGTAAATAACTGATGTGAATGGAGGACTCTCAGTGAAGTCTCCTCTTACTGGTGGTAGTAGTACTAACAGTAGCTACAGTTGCTGTTGAGTCCGTTCCGGCTCATAGTGATCCTGTATAGGGTTTCTGAGGCACAGTTGGTGAGCTTGAACCACCAACTTTGCGGTTCAAACCAACCTTGTGATCCCGTGCATTAACCCATGGTGCCACACCAAGACTTCACAAGTTTTATAGCTACTAGTATTTACCAAGCACTTTTTGCATG